TTTTTTAAGATTTTATTTATTGGAGAGAGAGAGCATGAGCGGAGAGAGGGAGAAGCAGACTCCCCGCTGAGCAGGGAGCCCGATGCGGGGCTCGATCCCGGGACCCTGAGATCACAGCCCGAGCCGAAGGCAGACGTTTAACCACCGGAGCCACTGAGGTGCCCCAAGAGGGATTTCTTTATTTTGGTAATACTGTTTTCCTTTGAGGTAGCATTAAATTTTTAAAAACTATTACAAAAGTAGTATCTGTTTAAGCTAGTGGAATATGAAAGAAGAGCGAATGCACTTTTTTTGCTTTAAGGTGGAAGTCATCCTCTCGCTGTCCCGTCTCACTATAAGAGGGCATCTTGGGGTGCTCAGATCTTACAGACCTGTGAGCTGCCTTTGACACTGGTGGTCACTCCCTCTCTTCTTCCTTGAAGCCCCATCATCTCCCAGCTTCCCGCACACAGTCCCCCCAGGTTTTCTCCCTGCCTCTACCTCCTCCTCCGTTGTCTTTGCTGATTCTCTTTCATCTCCTTGATTTCCATCTTGAACCTGTTTTTCTTTTGTCAGCACTTCCTTGGCAGTCACATACCTGTACGCTGGTGGCTTAAATGGATAGCTTTAGCCTGAACCGCTCTACCCTTAAATCCAGACTTTTATGTCTGACCCCCAGTTCACTGTCTCTGCTTGGAAGATTAATAGGCACTTCAAATTTGAATCCAGCCTTTTCTCGCTACCTCCACCTCTGTAGTCCTCGTGCGAGACACTATCTTCTCTTGCCCAGATTATTATAGTTCCCTCCCCGCAGGTGCTCCTGCTGCCTTCCTTGCCCCTTCCAGTCTGTACACAACGTGGCCACAATTGTGGTCCTGTTAAGACTTCATCCATTCCACCCCTCTCTGCTCAGAACTCTCCAGAGGCTGCCCATTTCTGATGAATAAAAGCCAAAATCCCTTTAGTGATCAGAGCTACACAGCCTGGCCCCCATCCCCGTTCTGATCTCATCTCCTATGTTTCTCCACCTTGCTTACTTCACTCTCAGCGCACTGGCCTCATTGTTCCTCAGGTACACCACTCCTACTTCAGGGTGTCTGCCTGGATTGCTCTCCCGCAGGTGTCCACATGGCTTCCTCAGTGTCCCTTTATCGATGAGGCCTTCCTTCGTGGCCATGCTAGAGCTAGAGCTGTAACACCCTGCTGGCATCCCCTGCCCTCCCAGTGTTTCTCGTCGCTTTTCTTTGCCTTATCGGCCTCCCAAGCAGCCATCACCACTGCCTATGTGGTACTTTTTGTTTCTCCCTCTCCTCTGGAGGAGAAAGCTCCGTGGGGACTGGGAATTTTGTTGTTTTTTTCACAGCTATTCCTAGAACAATGCCTGGTTCATGGTAGGCACCCATTTAATTTTTTAAAAATATTTACTTTAGAGAGAGTGCATGCACTCAGTGGGAGGGGTAGAGGAAGAGAGAAACCCAAGCAGACTCTGCGGTCAGTGCAGAGCCCGATTCAGCTCAGTCTCATGACCCTGAGATCACAACCTGAGCCATAACCGAGAGCCAGATGCCCAAGTGACTGTGTCACCCAGGTGTCCCCACCCATTTAATATTTTAAATTTATTTTTAACAGAAACAGGATTGTGCTACACATCCTGTCTTTTATTTTTTTTAAGATTTATTCAAAAGAGAGAGCAAGCATGCAAGCAGGGGCAGAGGCAGAGGGACAGAGAGAGAGAGAGAGAGAATCTTCAAGGAGACTTCATGCTGAGCGCAGAGCCTGACCTGGGGCTCAGTCCCAAGATCCTGAGATCATGACCTGAGCCGAAATCAGAGTCGGCCACTCAACTGACTGAGCCACCCAGACACCCTGCTACACATCCTATCTTAACAACTTGACAATTCTCTTCTGAAAATATTGTGGACATTTTTTTTCACATTACTACATAGATTTCCCCCCCCCTTTTTTTTTAAGATTGATTTATTTTATAGGGGTGTGGTGTGAACAGGGTCAGGGGCACAGAGAGAGAGATAATCTCGAGCAGACTGCCTGCTGAGCATGGAGCCTGACGCAGGGCTGGGTGCCGTGAGCCTGAGATCATGACCTGAATCAAAATCAAGTCAGACGCTCAACCAACTGAGTCACCAAGTGCCCCCAGATCCCATTTTTAATGGCTGTAGAGGTTTTCACAGTATAGATGTTGTTATTTACTTCCTTATTGATAGATATTTGGATTTCTTCTGATTTTTACTGTGTTCTTATGCTTTTTTCTAATTTGATTTTTAGGGGAAGAATGGGAAGCAAGTTTGTAGTAGTAGTAGGCTTGTAGTAATAACATCTAACATCTGTTGAGCACAACAAGCATGCATGGGGGCACTGCGATCGTTTCTGTTTTTACAGGTGAGGAAAGTGGGGCCTGGGGGAGATGAATAATTTGCCCAGAGTCATATAGATGGTGATTAGCAGAGCTGAGAGCCTGGCAGTCCGGCTCCAGAGTTCCCATGTGTCACCACTATGCATCGTTGTCTCTCGAAGGGTTCCTTCACAGAAATGATCTTCATGTTTGCTGGATGGACTTAGTGCCAGAATGTCTCGGTATAATTTCTCCATGTGAGAATGGGTGCTTGCTCTCACTCAGGTATAGCCTTTCTTCTGTGTACCCAGGTCTTTACTCGAGGTAATCCTACTTGGACTCTTTTCCCGCCACCCCCTTCCTCTCTGTATTTCTCTGCTTCTTAGTTACTCAGCTGAAAAACTGTGATCTTTTGGGAAACCTTACCTACACAACCCACAGTGCACTCTCTACGATCTCCTAGCATCTCACCTTCCCTCACTAGCCTGGTCCCGGTGGATGCCCAGTGGTGAGTGGTCACAGGATGGAGCTGAGCCTGTGAACATTTGTTCATGTCCCAACTCATTTTTTGTACCATTCATTTTGTCTTCTATATCTTTCAGGTTTTCCCACTGTACTGTCAGACTCTTAAAGATAGTGCTTATACCTAATCTTAAAAATCACATACAAGAGTAATTTTCCATATAATACACGTTCATCTTTTTTAACATGTCAAAAACTCAAAGCATGGGCAGAATAAACTATTTCTCAGACTTGCAAATGGCCAAAAAAGAAGTTGCAGTGACTGGATTGGAAGCTTTGTATCTCTTGGCTCAGCAGCTGGACCCTTCCTAAGTGTGGGCTAGGTCTAGCCAGCTTTGTGCAGAGGGTTACACTGTTGCCATGGACTTGAGAACTATTTCTATGCTTTCCTGGTTAGTGTATGGTTTGATAGTACCCGTCTGTGGCTTCCTCCTGATGATACAGTCTGTCTTCTCTCAGGTGCTTTTTAACCTACCAATCCTGCCAGAGTTTGATATACAGGAGGTGTTTGCTCCACGACAGCATCGCCCGCCATCCAGCTCCCGACGGTGAGTGCTTTCCCAGCCTCAGGAGGGTCGGGCTCCACCCTGCTTCGCCTGAGGCCGTTGGGGACCGTCAGCAGGCTCGTTCTGCTCTTGACAGTATGATCATGAAGCCACAACTCATTAAAAAATGAGAATTGGAATAGGTCGTGTGAAAGTACACGTTGCATTTTAGTGCGTAAGGAGGGGCAGCAGTTTGCTCTTCTGTCCCTGCAGACAGATCATTCATTCAAGAAAATGTCAGAGCTTGTTTTAGATGGCAGATAGAGATGATATTTGGACGGAAATTCTGCAAATGATAAGGTATACAAGGGCAGCGTTGCTAAGCCAGAATATTCGCATATGCACTCGGGGTCATTCTTCCAGTAGCCACGATGGGATTTTTCGGGTTGGTCTATATTCTCTTTCCTGATAGCTCCGGTGACAGAGCCCACATTTCTGAGATGATGAGTTTGAAATAAGATCATAGACACGAGCCAGGAGTTAGTGACTTAAATAGTCACACGAACGTCAGATTCATGACCTGAGGCTCAGTCACATCGCACCCCAACCAAATGAGCTAACTAGACATGTTTGGGGGAAATTTATGGTCTCAATGACACTCCACGTAAAACTCTGCCCCCCCTTTTTTATTTTTACTCTAAACCAGCTGAAGCTGTCTCGTTTTGAGAAGTCAGTGTTGGCAGCTTGTATTCTAACTTGTTACCATGGAAAATGCAATCACATACAAAAGTAAAGAGTGTAAAAACCCTTATATGCCCATCATTCAACTTCAGCCATTGTAAGCTCATGGCCTTTTAGTTTTCGTCCATAGTCACCCACTCATTTTTCTCCTCTTACTGCATTATTTTGAAACAAATTTGGGGAATACCTAAACACTCACTGCAATTGAGAGTCGGTATGCTATTTAGACAAAAAATCAGGAAAAGATCGAGACAAATCAAAGAAACACACCTGCCAATTGACTTTGAGTTGAGCTACATACCGTTTTGGGGGAGAAGAGAATCTGTGGGATCTGGAGGGCAGTCGTAGAACAGGGTGCTCACAGACGAGGGGAGTTTCTGAAAGGGGAGAAGGTGTTGACCCAGTATACTCACGTTCTGCTCCAAGTCATGCATTTAAAAAATTACCATTACTGTAATTTTATAAAAGAGTATTTTCACATTAACAGTGTATGAAGGATATCATCTCAGAACAAAGTATAGTCCTTTCAGCTGAATAAATTGAGCTTTATGAATCACTGATTCATGACCCTTATGTTCCTGTTCCCTCACAGAGGGATGAAAATGTCATCACACACGTAGCTTTGGGAAGCACAGATTCAGTCCAGCCTCGTCTGGAACGTGGGAGCAAGTGCTTTGAGAACACAGAGCCGGACCCAGGTGCCTGTCCCTTTACACGGCAGCCCAGCCAGGGCTCAGCCCGTCTGCCTGCCTTCTCTGAAGCTGACACTCAATGCCACTTGTCTTCCTCTCGCAGATCCTGACTGGATTAAGAGGTTACTGCAAAGCCCCTGCCCTTTCTGCGATTCTCCTGTCTTCTGAACGTCAGTGGTGGGGAGCTAGAAAGGGCACATGCTCTGTTGCGGAAATGCCCTCTGGCCTGAAGACGTGGGATGCGCTGGCTAAGCCTGGCCTTCGAGTGGGAAGGCCCTCTTCAGGAGTGTAAATAGGGCCCTGGGAACTCATTTCTGAAGTACAGTCTCCATCTCCAGGGACTAAAGGAGATCTTTAAAACGACTGAGTGCAGAGACTGTAAGTCATTCTGAGAGGAACACGAGCCCCCCACTCCTTACCCAGTGAGGAACACTTATTTTTCAAGTGTTCTGACTGAAGCAACTTGAACAAAAAGAATGCCCTATCATTTCTGGGAACAGAATGATCTCTTCTAGAGAGTTGGGCTAAGGGCCTTGCTGGACCAAGTTAGGCTTTAATGCTTGCCTTGATCTGGAATTGCCTTGTGGCTCCCCAGAGTGTAAATCACCTGTCACTGGTGTTCGGTGTGCCCCCAGACATTCCGAGTGTCTAAAACAGCGCTTGGTCCTGATACTTGGTTCTCCACAGATAGCCCCAGATCTGTATCCCACGGATTCTTGTTTCTCCTGCGTACTGAAAACATGTTCATAAAACTGTATTTTCAAGAGGTTGAGGCCAAGACTAAAGTTGGTTTTAATGTGTCAAAAAATCAGGTGATTCTTGTAAGTAAATAACTGTGACTTATTTTTGATGAGCTCCCACATTATCAGATTTCCAGTCCTAACTCCTTAATATGTCCAGGATGTCGGGGGTTCCCATTCACCCATGTCACCTCCCTGCTTCCGACTGTCATAGCCCAGATGAGATATTTGTACATAGAAGAAAAAGACTATTTTCTCCCTAAAACTTTCAGTGTTTTTAATGTTGACATGTCCAGACATTTCATTTGTATCCCCTCTCCTCTATAAGAATGTGCAGTCCATCTAGAGACTTCCAGAAAACTTCCAGAAAGCGATGGGCAGCCCAAGCATGGAGGTGCTTATGGTCCGCTGCCCCAGGTGTGTGTGGCTCCATTGACGAGAGCCTGGGAATTTCTTCTCAGCAAGGGTCCTTGATGTTTTATAATACAGGTATTTTCCTGTGGGCTTTTAAGAGGAGATATTAGGCATTAATTGGTCTTAAAATCTGAAATTAAAGATGGACATTCGGATATTACAGTGTTCTTGGATTGCGAAAATAGCGTCCTAGGGATTGGTGCTAATCAACAGGCCTGTGCTGCACGCATGTGGAAATGGTGCATACTTCTGGGAAGGAGGATGGCGAGTATAAAATGTGAAATTCCCACTCCTGTTACATGCTGTCTGTTTTGCCTTTATTCCAACATTTATTCCTGCCTTTGTTGTGATTCCTCAGTGAAAGACGTTTGTCCTTGCCATGTGGACAGGACACTCCCGGACACGACCACAGGCCGCTGTGTCCGCGGGGTCGCAGGCACTGACTGGCACTGAGAGCCCTTCAGGCCTCCGAACAGCCTGCCTGACATGTCTTCTGTTTCCTATTCAAATCATGTGTTGTCTTCTGGGTTTAATTCTGTATTTGTTGGAGTCTTCTGCTTATCTTTCTCATCTCGGTCATTTTGAGAACAGTGTTGACCCAGATTCTAGGGCCCAGCACGTTAAATTGGTTTTCAAGAAAGAGGGGCAGGCGGCATTAGAATCATGAGAAGCACAGCTCCGAGGCTGTATGGTTGCACTTGCTCGCGTCACAGGAACCACGACGGTAAACGTGGAGATCATGTCAAGGAATTATGACAGTGTCCTAATCATGGGATGCTTAGTGTCACTTATTCTTTGTTCCTCATCAGGGTCAGTGTTTGAGTTGTTCTTATTGGGGAATTCTGTGCTGCTGCCATTTAAAACTTACATTAAGTTCTTACTTAGAGCAGTTGTACATTTTTGGGGAACTTTACCTCGTGGCAGTTAACTAAAAGGGTCTCCCGAATTATTTTGTATGTCTCTGTAGGAATAAACATGGCAACTGTTTTTCTAGAACATGGCTTCTCTCTGCATGGGGCTAGGCATTCTTCAGACTCTGAAATCCACCCAACAGCTCAGCCTGAGTTTCTGTGCCCGGAGTGGGGAGACCTCCCCCTTCTCCCGCCCGCTCCCCTCGTGCATGGCAGCATCGTACACACAGCCGGCTTCTGATTTTACTAAGGGTCCGTGCACCTGATGATGGAGTGCCAGTCAGTGGGACTTTGGGAAAGCAGGGGTGACACCCGGAATCTTCCAGCTCACTGCCTCTCCTGGCTTAAACTTGTCATGCCCTCCACGCTTCCTAAAATGTGCCTGATCTGTTTCGTGGATTTCAAGTTTATCTCCGCTGTCACTGTAAGAACGGTTTCAGAAGCGGCAGAAATGGTAGAGGCCAAGTTGCCGCGCTGCCTGGGAGTCGGGAGCAAAGACTGTAAGCAATTAGACCTTTTCAGCTACAACACGGTTGCATTCGGGGACTCTGATATCCACACCTGTATCACGCTTTCTCTGCCTGGGGTTAATTTGTCCCCATTACTCCAGATAAGAAATTGATAGCTTGTTATGCTTGATATTCATTCTGAAATCCTCATGTGTCCACCACCCAGACTTCAAGCAGTCTCTACCTACTATTACATCTGCCAAAACTACCAATTATTTTTCAGTGTCAGGAGTTATTAGAACCACTGGCGAAGCTTGTGGTTGAGTGTGACATCTTTCTGCTTCTCTCTAAGAAGGTTTTGGGGATGTTAATGTGGAAGCATGTGGGTTGGACCTATTCGCAAGTGTCACAGGTTAATTAGGTGAAAGGAACGTTAAAGGGTAATAAGTATAAAAATATTTTCTGTTGTAATTACAACGCTATCAGCTAAGAAGCAGAAGTTGGTGCTTATTGGTGCTTGTTAAGAGGAACACAGTGCTGGTTTTATGAAATACCTGCCCCCCTGGCAGCTAAAGACAAACTGCTTCAGAGTTTGGTGAATTACCGCAGCTCCTGGAATGAAACCAAGATTACCATCCCAGGCCCTGTTCAGCCTGCTCGCTCCTGACCCCTCTACTCTCTCTTGCTTTTCCTTCCTGGTGAGGTCCTCTTGATTTCCCTTCCTCTTCTTTTCTCAGCTTCAGGACATGTCCAGAGCTAGCAGATTTCATGTTTGAAAGAACAGTAGATCAGTGATAAAATTTCTAAAAATTACATCACACAGTAGGTTTCCCTTCCTAAAAGAGACGATAGCACACAGTGATTTTTCTCTCTGACGGTAAGAGTGTTGGTTGTTAACTTGGTAAATTATATCCAGTTTTCTTCAAAACTCTTAATTTCCCTGGCAGAGTGCTCAGTAACTCTTGGCTGGCCTTTGGGGCCAGAGTCTGCTAAATTGGAGCTCCTCGCCACTACCCGCCGCCCTCCCCAAGCCAACAACGTCCCTGACAAGCAAAACTGCTGGTTAAGTCAGCCGGCCTGTTTTTTAAGGGAAAGGTAGATCCTGCCCTTTTTCTTTTTAGAGACGGGGCAGCAAAAACAGCCAATAGCCAGAGGAATCAATGAACGTCCTCAGCCCACCATGGACTGTGGTGGGCCTCCGTGTGGCTCCTCGTAGTAACGGGTCCCGAATATACTGTGAGGCTCAGACGCTTCCTTCCTGTGTGGGTGGAGTTGAACAGTTCAGGACGACTACAGGGTGTCTGGAGAATCGAACCTTTCCCCTCCAGGTTGTCCGTTTTAAAAATGCCTCTAAGATATCTAACTGAATCGTTTTCATTTTCATTATTAGCGCAAGTATCGGCAGCTTCAAGCAGAGTAAGCTGTGTCTCAGATCTCATAGTTAGTAAACTTGGAACTGCCCTTTCTGGAAGCTGAAAACGGTTCTTGGAGTTAAGATCTTCACGTCTATTTAAAATGATTACAGAGCAGGTGAAATCTGACTCTCCTTAAGTTGAATTAGGTCCAATTTGCAGAATCTAGAGTTGCTTCTAATGATCTAAAGTACTGTAGCATCACTATCCTGATGAAAAAGCAGGGTTTTTCAGAAGACGGGGAGCTCGTTTCCAAGGCGCTGATAAAAATCAGTATCAGGACTTGAAGCCAGGCCGAGTCTGGTAGACGGGATGCAGCCTCCCATCTGCATGTGTCCTTTGTTTTAGAACAGGGCTGTTTCTGAAAACTTGCCGGGGACACCAATCAGTTTAATGGGGGAATGACTATAAAAACATCCTATAAAGAAGTTAGTCCTTTTGGTGTAGGACTCCCCCAACCTCTTCATCTGATTAGGTGGTTCAGCTTTTCTTATCTTGCATTTTTTGAGTTATAATTATACTTGGGGGGGGGGGGTCTTAATATAGCCTGAGGTCCTAGTCAGCTTATTCAGAGCAATATTATATGAATTTCCAACTTGGGGGTGCCATTCATTCCAGGCGTGGCAGGAATTGAAAAAAAGGAAAGATGATGCTCTCCTGCCAGCATAAAGGTGTAGGCTGTCCAGGTGAAATGTTGTCAGTGGGTTGGGGAAGATTTAAATTGCAGAACTCTAAATCTTGTTGATCTTTGCAGTCAAAATTTGCTCACCTCACCGTCATGAACTCCTGTTACTTGCATAGAAAGACCCTGTCAGGTGGTCGGACTGGACCACATAAGAGGTGGTGACGGCTTGAGCACTTCCTACTTTATCCGTTTCACATTTGCCGAACAGGCTGGTGGGGGTTAGGGCGGTTTGGTTTTGGTACGAATGCAAAATGAAAAGCAAAAATGGATTATTAGGTCTTTTTCAAGACTTTGACTCAGATTTGTACTTTATGAAAGGAACATGAATATCAAACCTGTTTATACAGAAATAAGACTGTATAGAAAACAAAGTATGTTGTGTATAGTGATATTTTATGTTTACCCAATGCCTGTGCTAATCTTTGTGCTCAGCTTTGAATTATATGTATGTTTACATAGGACATTTTTTTAAATAAAAAGAACGGGCGTCTAAAAGCTTAAGGTATAGAAAGGAGATAGTTTCTTAATTCTTACCATCTGATTAGGTGGTGTGTTTTAGACTTTTGGTGTTTAAATAAAACTTTTAAGAATAAGAATACCTTTTCCTTGGAATACCCCGCTTCCAGTAAAGTGGGCTGCTTCTCTGCACTGTATATATGTACATAGTGTTCATTATTAGATTGTAAGCTCCTCGAGGGCAGGAACTGTCTGCTTCATCTTGGTAGCTCCTGCAGCACCTAATGTAAAGTGCCTTGCAGAGAGTAGGTGCTCCCGATTCATAGAATGAGTAACTTCCTGCCACCTTTAAGATGGAGCATGGCTCCCTTCTTCCAGCACATTCAAAACCACAAAGACTAAGGACCTGCCCGAGGAGGGCCCGATTCCTTCTTGGGTTTGAACGGAGTGTCCTGGGTTGAACCGGACCATGCCATGTCCTTAGCACTATCTAGCCTTCTTTCCCTGAAGATCCTTCACCAGTGTCCTGAGCTTTTATTTAATACTTAGGACAAAGGTTGCTGGAAAACGTTCGAAGTGGAAATTATAGAAAAAATGAAATGGAGATTTTGGAGGGGGTGCGTGTGTCCATACACGGCCCCGTGGGGAATCTTACTTGAGTTACCACTAAAGAAAAAGGTAACGGGTACTCAGTTTCTTTACCAGTTAGCTGGTTGGCCAGTTTTCCAGTTAATGGAAGATCCCTGGTCTTTCACTTTTCCCCATTTTGGATACCCCTCCATGGCTCGTATGGTTCTAGTGCTCAGAGTCCAGTCAGGTTGCGGGGGTGGCTAGTGCCGCGCACATGGCATCATGTTCTGTAAGCGTGGGGTCACCTCGAATGTGTCGTGTTTGTATGCAGAGCCACTGGTAGCCTCTTGGTCACTTTCTTATTCAAAATAAATAAATAACAGAATTATTTGTATATTGTTTGCATATCTTATCAGGTGCACATGGTCTGTAGCAAAGTTTAGGAACCGCCTTAGGGCCGACACCATCAGCAGCAAAGGTAAGTAAGGCCCAGGCCTGAGCGGCGGGGGCGGAAGGAGCTACGGACGTTAGGGAAACGGCCAGTGGGAACTCCCGTCAGAATCCGTGTGGTGTGCCTTTGGTTGATTCCAGAACACGGGGTGAGGAATGTAAGGGGAAATCAGCAGGAGAGCGTCAGTAGTACGTTAAGCCACATGTTCTCAACAGTGTCCTTTAGATAGTGTCTGGCGAGTTCCTAAATGAAGTGCGGATCCGGGGTTTCCGCAGGGATGCACCTGTAACTCGGTCCTACGGAGCCACCAGGAAAGCTGGACCCGGAACAGGATGAGAAACCGAGTAACTTAGCACCTCAGAGTAATAGTAAAACTGCTCAAAGTCGAAGGCAAAGGGAAAACTTGAAAACAAAGAAAAAAGACAAGTTCCCTTGGAAGGAGCGGTAGTAAGACCCCAAGGAGGACTTCCCGACGGCGACGGGCACAGTGGGAAGGCTGCAGACGCTAACGCGGGGCGAGAAAGGAGCCACCACCCTAGAAGGTGGAACGCCGCAAAAATGAGCTTTAAGGATGAAAGTGACGTTTTCAGGCAAAAGTAGGAAATGACGCATCACCAGCAGACCAGCACTAGAGGAGATTCTAAAGGGCGGGGAAGGCAGGTTTGAGGAGCGGCAGGAACGAGAGTGCAGGAGGGCAAGTGGGTGGCGGCCACGGATGGGGATAGGACATGAGCGGCCGGAGAGGCGCTCGGTTCCCTGAACCCTTGCATGGCCTAGGAACAGGAAAAGCGAATCCATGCGAGACTCCAGAAAGTTTTCTAGAGTCACCACTTGAAGAATAAAAGGGTCTATAATTAAGCTAATAAAGGGGGGAAATTAGAGCATCGTTTTAAATAACCCAAAATGCAAGAAAGAAAAATTTAATACAGACTAGGCTGGGGAAATGAAAAGCAAATAAGGTAATGGATTTACACCCAAACGCAGCACTGATTACATTAAATGTAAATGAACAAGTCATCCAAATAAAGCAAGGATTGTCAGACTGATAACAAACGTTGCTTATAAGTGAGAAACATAAAATACTTAAAAAATGACCAATATGAAAAATCCAGAAAGTCTGAAAGAATGGAAAAAGTAGCTGATGTCCCATTCACATCCCCAGCCTTCGTGCCATGTTGGCACAGATTTCTACACACGTGATCAACCCGACAAAGTTACTGTGATTTAAACACTCACTTGCCTTAGCTCCAGCAGCCGTGACAAAATACCATTGGTGTTGGGGGGCTTACAAACACCAGAGCTTTTGTTCTTCACAGTTCTGGAGGCTGGGAAGGCAAGATCGAGGTGCCAACGAGAGGGTTTCATTCTGGGGCTCCTCTCTGGGCTCCTGGGTGAACAGCCCCAATCCTATCTTGAGGGCCCCACCTTCATGACCGCATCTAATCTTGATCTACATCGCATTGCTGGTGATGAATTCTCTGCTTTTGTTTGCCTGATAAATGTATTTAATTCTCTTTAAAAAAAAAAAAAGTGGGCGCCTGGGTGGCTCATTTGGTTGGGCGACTGCCTTCGGCTCAGGTCATGATCCCAGACTCCTGGGATCGAGTCCCGCATTGGGCTCCCTGCTCAGCGGGGAGTCTGCTTCTCCTTCTGACCCTTTCTCCTCTCATGCTCTCTCTCTCACTCTCGCTCTCAAATAAATAAAAATCTTTAAAAAAAAAAAAAGTGGTTTATATGCATTTTTTCCCCCAGTCTCATCTTTGGAGAATATTTTCACAGGATATAGTGAGGGAAAAAAATTCTATTTCTCCCTAACCCCTGAGCACATTAAAATTCTAGTTCCACTGTTCTCAGGCCTCCATTGTTTTATTTTCCCCCTACATGTAATGTCTTTTTTTTTCTCTCTGCTTCTAAGATTTGTATTCATCCTCCCATCCCATTTGTCAGCAGCTGCAGTTACCCAGCGGAGCGCTGGCCGTGGAGCCTCCTGCCTTGGGATCCATTGGCATCTGGGGGCCTGAGGCCGCTCTCCCCCGCCCCCCCCAACTGCCCCCCCCCCCGGAGTCCTTACTCACGGCCTGTTTCCGGGGAGGGAAACCTAAGGGAGCGGGGCCAGAGGCAGCCCTACAGGGCAGGCCGTTGGGATTCTGGAGAGGCCGGTGAGGAGGTCAGAGGTGGCCCGGTGCTGGGGGGCCGTCCGGGAGCTGCCGGCCAGCGTGCTCGCGGACAAGGCCTCCAACCTCGCGTCAGCCTCCTGAGACGACCTCAGATGTGGGACGGGGACTTGAGAATGCCGGACGCCCAGATGCCCCGGATCCCCCGGACCCCAGCGGCCCGCAGACCGGTTCCAATCCCCTGGCTGAAGGAGAGCATCTCCGGTGGCCACGGGGCCACGCTCGGGTCCCCTGCAGCCTCACAGGATGGCATATCCCCTCGTCCGCCCCCCCCCAGCCCCTCCGGGTCAATACTAGGGTGAGTTTCAGCCTTGCCCACGTGGGAGGGACAGTCCCTGCGGTGGGACGACAGCGCCGCCTCACACAGGCCCCAGGACCGGCGCTGGCAGAAACCAGGGAGTCGGGCCCGAGAGGGAGGAGAGCAGAAGCCGCAACACGGGGAGCCTAGGATGTGGAAGCGCTCTGGGGGCCTCGGCGGGGACACCTGGACGGGGCCCTGCGTAAGGGTGACGGTGCTCAGCGCCAGCACCCCCTCCCCGGGAGGGCAGAGGTCACTAGCGCGCTGGGACGGGTTCTGGGAGGCCGGAGCTCCCCAGTGCCCACGTTCCCCAGGAGACCCCAGAGGACACTCTTTGGGCTCAAGACAATGGCGGGACCCTGGGGTCAGTGAGCAGCTCGGTGGTGACTGTCCCCTAGGCCAGGAGGGACTTGTCAGTTGCTGCCAAAAACCGGACTTGGGGGTGTCAGGGCGGGATTCGGGCAGAGCGGAGGCCCGGCCGGTGGGTCTAACGCTGGGGAACTCTGCCTACCACACCCGGCAGGCGACAGCCTTGTCACACGGACTCCGTGGCTAACGGACCAGGAGGGCAGACAATGAGGGTAGTGTCTGATCTTAACCAAAAATGGGGAGCCAGGGGGCTTACCAAGCCTCTCTGTGGGCCCTCCCCCAATCCCGGAGTCCACCTTCGCGATGGATCTACTGAGCGTCGGGCCCCCGCAGCTGGGCCAGGCTTCTAGAAGGCCCTGAAACCGCTGCCTCCAGCTGAGATGTGAGACTCACCGGAAGCTACACTGGAACTCCGGTGGGTCATAAGGATGACCGTCACCCTAACAACGTCCAGGCGGTGACGGTGCCGGAGGCCCCACGTCAGGGGTGACGCTCCAGGGACTCGACTCTGCTTCCCAGACTCTGCTTCTCTGAGCTCCGCCATCTGCACGTAGCCGCGAAACCGCCGCGGGAAGTGGGGCCCAGGCCTGGGTGCGCACACGGAGGCAGGAACTTGGGGGGCCGCCCGCTGAGCCCATCAGCTCACCAGCACCCGCCACACTTCTCCAGGTGACCCCGACCGGCCTCCACGGCGATGGCACCTTCCCCACCCACGCAGCCCTGCCCAGCTTCCTCCGCTGCATGTTCTCTGCTCTCTCAACAACGGGCCTGGGCAGGTCTCCCATCACTGCCAGTGTCGAGTGGCACCACCCGGTCACTGTGGCCACTTCCTGGCCGCTGACACGGCTGAGCTGTCTCCGTGTGTTGAATTGGCTTTTCACGTTTCCTTCTGCAAAACACCTGATTGCATCTTTCTCCTGTTTCTTCAGTCACGTGTGTTGCTACTTAGGCCGATTTCAAATGTATTCCATTTTAAACATGACCATGTGACACATCCCACAGAGGCCACAAACCACACGTGTGTGGCTACGATTTGAGTGTGACCACGGTGCACCATGACAGACAACACAGGCCTCACCCCAGAAGGCCCCCTGGCGCCCGGCCTCAGCCAGGAACCCCCACGGGTGACCTCACTGTTTCTGACTTCTATTAACAATGGATGGATCTAGAGGGTATGACACTAAGTGAAGTAAGTCAGTGAGAGAAGGACAAACACCGTATGATCTCGTAGGTGGACTTTAAGAAACAGAGCAAACGGGCCAAGGGAAAAGAGGGAGTGAGAGGCAAACCAAGAAACAGACTGTTAACCACAGAGAACACCCTGCTGGTGACCAGAGGGATGGGGGAAGCAGGTGATGGGGATTCAGGAGCGCACCTGCCATGATGAGCGAGGGGTGAGGTATGGAAGTGTTGAATCAATATATCATACACCTGAAACCAATATAACACTATGTTAACTAACTGGAATTTAAACTAAAAACCGACTGATGGAGACTTGTGTTGTTTCCAGTTTGGGGCTAAGATGATGAATAGGACCATGAACCTCCCTGCATGAGTCTTTCTGTGCAGTTCCCCTGGGGACATCGGGAGAGGAACCGCCGGGTCCAGGTCTGAGGGTGGGCACGTGGAGCAGGGAGGGAGGACGGGGGGAGTAACAGCATCACACGTCTCCAGACCGGTTTTCCCTCCCACCGCCCCAGCCCCGGTACCTTCGAGAGCGTTCCCTCAACGCTTTGCGCTTTTCGGTGGGAAGTGGCTTGCGGGCAGAGCAGGTCTCGCTGTGATTGATGGCATTTCCGTGATTACTGATGAGGGGGAGCATTGTTCACATGTTAATTGACCATTCCTGTTTTCTTCTGTTAACTACTTGCTCCTGTCCGTTTCCACTTTTCTACTTGGCTGCGTGGGGTTCGGGAATCCGTAGGAGCTCCTTACCTATTCTGGGCCCCCGGCCCCGCCGTATTAAATGCACTGTAAAGCCTGTTTCCCCGCCTCTCTCCTGCCTGTGGGGACTCCGCGCTGTCTCTCCCAGTCTCCCACGCAGAGACCTTTCCTCCCGAAGCTGCTCTGGCACCAGCACTCAGCGGACACTCCCCGGGCAG